CTACTGGGAGCTCCTTGAAAATCTCATAATTGGTCGTCTCTCCGTCGGTGGCATCTAGGAATAGCGCGGTGTAGATGTTACCGTGGAGTTTCCTCTCACGGCAACCATCGGGTGTAGAGGGGTTTGCCTTTCGGATCGGCGGAGACCGTGAACGGTCCATTGGGGGGGCGGGGCCTAATCAAAAAATTTGAAAGAAGGCTTTTTTGTTGTCCGTCTGGCCCGTTGCCAGCACGGATTCTGGGTGCCACCCAGTGACCTAACGCGGTTGTTCACGCTCTAGGCAGAACTAGAGCGGGGATCCTCTTGCGTTTCTCAACTCTCTGACCCTGGGGCCGTGTCTGCCAGATATAGAATTCTAGAAAACTATATCTCACAGTGCCATCCCAACGGAGGCACAGAGAGTATCCCGACGGGCAAAGCCCGTATGCTTTTTCACTTCCCTACGCCACAATTTTGGCCTCCGTGAAGATTTGATTTAAAAAACAAATCTCCCCGGCTAACCTAGTTACGACGTAAGGTTTTGCCTCTGTTGTTCAGGCCTAGGCGCTGTTAACGCCAAGTCACCGCTGCCGTGCTTACATTCACGGCTTGAACTAACAAGTTCAGCTCGGACTTGGTCGTTGCAGCTCCTCCGCGGTGTCGCTCTTCTCGCTGTGGCACGTCTGCACTGTTCGACTGCTGGAGTCGAACTTAAAACTACTGACTTATTGACCTGAAAATCGCCTATTTTTATACTTTCTGAAGTAGCGATTAGGGATTTCCAAGTCAGGGAGGGGCCAACGGGAAAAATAAGGGGCGGGGCGATGCGTCTCGAACGTAAACTAGTCGCGTCCGACAACAATATGTAATATTATGCTTACGGATTTATCATTAAAAAGCTTCAACAGTTCTGTAGAAATTTCATCAGCTCTATTTGATTTTTTATTTTTAGCGTTTCTTATTGCGTATTCTACTTCTTCTTTCAATATGTCTGGCCCAGTTGCATTGATTATTTGAGTTAAGTTGATTCTATCATCTTCAAATAATTCATTCAGGTATTCTGTCCATCTTTTTATTTTATTCTCTAGATCTACAATAAGATTTCCATCTTTGTTTTTAATTTTACCTATTTGTCATTTCTTTATGCTTCCTGTTATCTCTTTTACTTTTTTGTGCATATTGAACGCATCGTACTTTTTCTCATAGGTTTCCATTTCTTTGCACTGTTCTTTAATCCACGCCTCTTTGGTTTCTTTTATTCTCTTTTGTATGTGTTTATTCATTTCTTTGTATTTGTCTGGGTAATTCTTTATCTTTCTTCTTTGTTCCATCAAGTCTAGTATATTTTGTGTCATCCACCCCTAATTCTTTGTTGTTGTTTTTGTAAGATGTTTCTTTACTGCTGTTTGTATAGTTGTATTTATGTACTTTAGTTTTTGGTTAACGTTATTTGTATCGTTAATTTGTTGCTGCACTGAACGGAGGTTTTCATTTGTTTCTTCTCCTGTTTCTTGTCGTATATTTTTGTTACTGTTTATTTAAATCTAGTGCTTTTCTGTGTGGTCTTCTAATCTATTTTGGTCTCGCCTCTATCAGAGTAACTACCGGGTTATGATCTGAGCCTACATCAGCTCCTGGGTACGTCTTAGTATATTTAACAGCATTACGATACCTCCTTGCTATCATAATGTAGTACATTTGATTTCTCACTATTTTTTCTTTGGTATGTTGTGAAGATGTCCATGTATATAAAACTATAAAATTAAACCACTTGTTCGTCCACAATACAATATAAAACAAAGCGGCGTACCTTAGCTGGCTCCCAAACTTTATAAAACCATACAGAAGTTAAAACACTTAATAATTGTATAAAAAATTTAGTTAAAACTTTTAAAAATGTCAAAATTTATACAGTAGCATAACGTTTTCGATCTAGATCAGATCACCCTCAGTGCCTTATGTAGTTGAAGCTAACAATAAAGTTGTGGCTGTGACATCCATATATGGGTTTACATCATTCCAAATTTAAATTATGTTGTGACTCTAGGTCGATAACATTGGATAAAATTTAATACTTAAGGAGCTACATGTCTCCCTGCTCGGTTTTTAACAAGTGGTTCTTGTCAGTTAAAATGACACATACCAATCAGGCTCAGCCCTGATGTAAACCCATATATAGATGTCACAGCCACAATTTTATTGTTAGCTTCAACTACATAAGGCACTGAGGATGATCTGATTAGAACGAAAACGTTATTCTACTGTATAAATTTTGACGACACTTTTTAAAAGTTTTAACTATATGTTTTTATACCTAAATACAATTGAGAAGTATTTTAACTTCTGTATGTTTTTTCAAACGATGGTATATAGCCAACTACTGGGATTTTCCCATTAGTTTTTTTTATAAAACCACTTTAATCCTACACGAATTGGCTCCCAAACCCATACACGAACTGGCTCTCACCTATTACGAAATTCTTAGAAGTTTAATCTTCTGAAACTTGGATTTTGAAGAAAAGAGGTATAATATACATCAGAAATTAGAAATGTAGTCGTAAACCATTTATTTATTAAAGAAGCTGCAACTTACAGACTATACAAGTTGATTCCTTCTTGACATATTTTTAACAAACTCAAAAGCAGTTATACATTTTTTCTATAAAGAACGTATTTGATGTTCAATGAAATTTCTTTTAAGACATATTGGTTTTCGGTATACTTTTTTAGGTATACTACTTCTTACATTAATATAGGTATCTACTCGTATTTGAACATTTCTCAGACTTTGAAAAAATTCGAAAATATTCGGATGGCAAGTATAAAACAAAGAATTGAATTTTGAATGGAAACTCTCGCATGAATTCGTCGTTCTTTGTAGAGACGTATTATTTTCGGTCCACATCTTCCTGTCCAAATCTGCAAATTTTTGAATTACTGGATGTCTGGGTTAGACTGCTCCAATATCAGTCGCAAAACAATCGCCGACATTTTCTAAGTCTAAAAAAGAAAGATTGTACACGTATCGTCTTATTCTTTCAATTATCTCGTGGCCAAGCACAGTTTCTGAATCTTTCGTCGCCTGTTTCATAACTTATTAAAATTTATGTTGCCGTACATAGATGTAAAAAAAAATTACATCACTACGTTTTAAAAATTATATTTAATTACTATTAAACTGGGAATAAGCCACAATTAAAGATAAAAATACGTTTATTGACGTTTCAATTTCCACTTCGGAAATCGTTCTCAAAATACAAACAGTAAATTAAACAAATTTTGTTTTTTGTTACATAGTGAAAAATTCTTCTAATAATTTAATTTTATCTGACTCATTTATATTAACAATTCAGACATACATTATGCATTTTAAAGTAGACGACTTTAAAATGATATTGCCAATATTGTTGAGTTGCGCTCCTGGGACGACTTTACTTATAAGATAGTTCATTCGATTACATGAAATCAACTTTAACTTGAGAATATCCGTCAGAAAAAAATCATAGCATGTAATTCGTCTTTAAAAAGACAAACACATGACATATTGACAGTAAAATTCTCCTGTTAGTGATTCCATAGTAAATTATGAGGGAAAACCAGGAAAAAAACCTCATAATACTATCCCGACATTGTAAGTATTTGTTCGTGAATTTAGTTTACCTTCAACAAACATCAAAATTCTGATTTTATAGGTTACGTTATTTAAAAAACATAAATGATGTATCCTCTATATGTTACTGACTTACTAATACTGGTATTTTCTTATTAATAACTTCCTCTTTCAATATTGGTAACCAGATCCTACTACATTCTGCCGAGGAATTTGCGACACAATTGGCCTCATTTATCATAATTAGAGCCGCTTCTTTGATTTTTCTTTTTTTACCATCCGTTTCTTTTAGGACTACATTTGAATTATTCCATTGAACCCTATGTTCATTATCCCATGCGTGTTTACAGATTTGAGATCTATCAAATTCTTTATTTTTAATATAAGATTGATGTTCACTTATTCTAACATTTAATGGCCTTGATGATTCACCTAAATAAAACTGATCGCATTCACAAGGTATTTAAATGCAATTCTTTGTCCTTTCTTGTTCATTGTTAGGTTTGGTTTTGGACAAAATAGATCTCAACGTGTTTGTCGTTTTGAATGTTGTTGAAATGTTGAATTTATTTCCTATCCTTTTAAGTTTTTCTGATATTCCTTTTATGTACGGTATTGTTATTTTCCTCATATTATTCCTTGTGTATGCTGTAGGATCTCGTTCTAAGTTGTTCTGTTCTATTCGATCGATTGTTGAAAATTCCTTATTTATAAACGATAAAGGATAATCATTTTTTAATAAAACAGATGTTAACAAATGTTTCTCCTCCAAGAACGAATTTTCATTAGAACAAGTAATTTTGGCTCTATCGTATAAGGATTTAATTATTCCCTTTTTTACATTAATATTGTGATTTGATTTGAAATTTAAATATCTGTTGGTGTGTGTTGGTTTTCTATACACCTGAGTCTCATATCCAGTATCGTTCTTAGAGATTAAAACATCCAGGAAAGGTAGCGTGTTATTATATTCCTTTTCCATGGTAAATGTTAAGCCTTCGGCTTCGTACTGTTACCCAGGAACAAGCTTTCGATTGTCATGAAATTATCTTATCTGTTATCAATGTCCTAGGGATATTACTACTGATAATTATTAAAAAAAATTATTATATCTTTAAGGTCCCAAAAAATACATGAAAACTAGTTATAAATAAGAGCAGTGTTATTTCGGCATTTTCAAAACCCTAAATTCCCAGTATCAATCATCGTCATTCATTACATGGCTGCCTTAGTTTGATGAATTCGATTATGGTCGGCAAAGAGGATTAATTCCATGATCTTAGGTTGTATTAGTAAAAAAGAGAGTAAATATAAAGAATAATTCGTGAATAATGTATAAAGATTCCTCGGGCGAGTATATTTTTAAATTCTGTTATCTATATATGATGTTTAATTTAGATTTGTCTTGCAGTTACGGGAACAATAATGGAAGGCCTTCTAGTTCAGAAGACGATGATTTCTTTATGGGAGACTTTGCTTTGTGGGGAAAACCAAGACCTAATAGGCCACAGTATCTAGAAGAACAATGCGGAATCGTTATTGTAAGTAATGTATTTCTATCAATAAAATTGATTTAGACCAAACAAATAACCGAAATTATTTATCCAAAAACCTATAAAAGCAGATAACTACAGTCACCGGTATGAAACCGGGCAACCCTATAATTTCTAACGACATTGCCCTGATCTTTTAATATTTTTTTGGTTCTTTTACAAATTTGTCAAACGATGAACACTGTTAAGCAGAAATCCCTAAAATAGTTGTTAACGAGAAATGTTTTTTAAATTGAAATTTTTCAGATATTGTTAGAAAATCTCAACAATATTGAAGTTATAATATTATCCTTAATTTAGTGTTACGAGGAATCTGCGTACTTTCAATTGTTTTTACTATGAAATGTCTGTTTATTGATGTCAAAAGTGTTTATCAATATTATCAGGACGGAAGAAGTCAAATTTACGTAGCTAACAAATATTTCATAGATGTTTCACGCAGTACAGTGCAATGTGTATTGGCTCACTTTATAGAAACATGAGTTTACATCCTGGAACATATCCCCAAAGAAAACTAGTCACCGGGACGACCATTTTATAGTATCTTAACTACTAAGAAATCGTCACTTAAAATTGAATTGCTCTAGAGGTTATAAATAGTTTTGAACATATCAGAAGCGAAAATGTTGGTCAACGAACCACTGTAAGATGGTTAAAGGGAGCTAATCTGAATCTTTGAAGACACGCTACAGGACCCGAACTTTCCAGGGAACATCGTGTAGCCACATTAGAGTTAGCTAAGTAGCATCGCGATTGGAATGTAGATGACTGGAAAAATGTGACGTTTACCGATGAGTTCAGATTTTGTCTACATTCTCCGAATGGTCGCTAAAGAATCTGGAGAAGATTTAGTAAATGATATGCCTAATGCACTTTTAGTCCTAGAGTAAGTTTTTAAGGGGGTTTAGATATATTGTGGACTGGTATATCTTTGGAGGCGCATACAGAATTGTACGTTGTCCCTAAGGGATCTCTGAACGATGATAGGTACGTAAACGAGGTACTGCAAAATTATGTTGTCCCATAGGCACCATTTATTGGAGAAAACTTCACAGCGATGCATGGCAATACACGCCTTCATGTCCCACATTATCAGAGAATACTTAAATAAAGTTTATATTGCCCATATGGTATGCCTACAGCGCACGGTCCCGATTTAAATGTCATCGAGCACGTTTGGAAAATGCTTGGTAGAAGTATTCGATGCCGGGTATCTTCTCCTCTTACCTTAGGTCAGCTCAAAGTGCCTTTTTTATAGGAATGGGAGGTAATTTGTTATTTTTATTTTGTTTCTGAAGATAGTTGAATAGGTACCAATTTGTTTTATTTTCTTTTTTTTATTAATTTGTAATTTTGTATAGTTTTAAATAAAAAGTTTTCGTACGCATACTTGTCTAAAGTATACCTTAAAACCTTCTATCAAAGCTTGCCATTCGTCGATAAGGGTTATAATAAGAAATAGAGTCTTTTTCGACCATTTTATTAAAAATTCAAGGGGTAACCGTGATTGTATAATACCACTACCATTATATTAAAGATTTCTGGTCATTTATTCTTGTTATATGAAAATAATTTTGCAGTGATCCAAAAACTTCTAATTTTATTTGGTAATTTTTTTTATTTATTTATTACAGAAACCTGCTCAACCTTTAATAACATATGGAGAACCAACAAGAGAAGGAGACTTTCCTTGGCACGCAGCCCTCTATCACGCAAGAGGAATAGATCTAACATACATATGTGGCGCAACTCTTATTACTAGATTTCATTTGATCACTGTAGCCCATTGTGTAACCAGATTAAAAACACAAAATGCTTTATCTCCAAGTAGTCTTATGGTTTATTTAGGTGAGTTTTTTTAACATCAACATGAACAGAATATCAAATTATGATATAGTTAAGACAGTATACACTATGCAATTATGAAAGTTAAAGTAGGAGGCAGTTTAAAATTTTTGAGATTAAAACTGACTGCAGATTTTCAAATGAATGCCCTTTTTGGAAATACAGAAAAACTAGTTTTATGAAGATTTAATGTTTAATGGGATGTTTAATGTTATATGGGATTAAACCATAATTGATTTACTAGGGTACGAAGTAAAAACATCAATAATAATCATCAACCAGATACTAAAAGCCACTACCACTGTTTTATGTTAAACTGGCAAAAGACGAACAGGAAATCAATTCATTGCTGAGATTAGAATAATTTTTGAACCGTCATATAATAAGCTTATTTTACCTCAGTGTATAAAATGACAATACTAAGGCCACACCAAAAATGTTTACTTCTTTGCTCCAAGATGTGTTAAATGTGTGAGTAACCACAGTTATAATCAGTGCCCTCGCAAAGAAAGAAACAACCAGGTAAAATGCGCGCTGTGTGAAGACACAACAGACTATCTTCGGTGCGTAGTCAGAAAGAGCTGCAAAAAAACATTTCCACAACTAAGAAGCAAACCAACATTAACAACAAGTCTTCTTCTTCTCTCCTTTATCTTTTGCCTCCACCCTTGCTTGTCTGTGGCTGATCTTCTCCATACACGGACTCATAAAAGGGCTTGAACGTTGCTGTTTACTGTATCTTCCCAGCGCTTTCTTGGCTTTCCAACCAGTCTCTTTCCCTGAATTCTAGCATTTAGTGCTCTTTTTGGTAGCCTATCCTCTCCCATTCTTATCACATGTCCAGCCCATTGCAATCTTTGTATTCTAATGAAATCTGACAGTGGTGCTTCCTTATAAAGTTGATAAAGCTCGTTGTTGTATTGACTTCTGAAAATTCCGTTTTCCCTCACAGGTCCTAGTATTCTCCTCAGTACTTTCCTCTCAAATGTATTGTGTTTGCTTTTGGATGTCTATTTCAGGACCCATGCTTCACTACCATAGCATGCTATTGGTCGAATTAAGATTTTATAGATTCTCAGCTTTGTATTTCGGTGGACATTTTTAGACCGAAATATATGGGAGAGAGCAAAATAAGCTCTGTTTGCCTGCGTTATTCTTTTCCGTATTTCTCCATCTTCTGATCCGTCGGCATATATTTCTACTCCCAAGTATTCAAATTTTCAAATCGTTTCAATGTCATCCATGTATATTGTTTTGTGGGACTATATTTGTTCTCGTTTGTATCATTGTTTTTGTTTTTTCTGTGTTAATTTCCAGAGCGAGCATTTTTGTTTGCATTTTTAACTCTGCATATGTTTCCTGTGGTACTGTTTTACTTTTCGCTTTTTTCTTGTTTCCCAGGGTGGACGCTGCCGCTGTCAGTACTGCTGTTTTGATATTATTCCATTTACATTCTATGGAGTGCAATTTTAGCGTCCTTAACTCATTTGCGACTTCTTCGAACTTCTCTTTACATTCCTGAATCTCCAGTTTTTTCAGGTCCAGTTTGTTTGTTCTTTGTTGTTTTTCGTTTCTTTCTTTGTCAACTCGGCATCTAAAATTGGTTTGGAGTAAAATATGGTCTAATCCACAGCATGCTCTCGTTGTGTTCTCACATCTGAGATGTGAGTGCACTTGTCTCACAACAAGTCAGTCTGCCCAATCACACCAACATTTAGTACGGATATGACCTATGCTTAAGTAGCACCGCTGGTAATAAGGTACCATCAAATACAGCCCCCAGTCTACAACAATCCGCTGAGATGCTTGAACTTAAAATTATGATTAAACAATTGCTAGAGCAAATAAGCACAATGCTAAATTTCTTATTTGCTCTCATTGCCGAAAAACCTTACGATGACGGCATTTCTAAATCTAGCTGAATGAAACACCAATGGCTTGTTAAAACACACACATAAAATCAAATACTTTCTACACCTTCATAAAATAAATTTACTTATACTTATTTATTTATACATATAATTCACTTTACACAAAAAAGTTTGATTACAAAGTTCGATTCCTTAGATTCCAAACTATACTATGTATTCCAAACTACTAATTACCCAGATGGATCAGCACATGGAGATTCTGCAATTGTGGTTATAAATACAATAAAACATCATAATATTGGCAATTACCAAACAAATCATATTCAAGCGATCAATATTGTGATTGAAGACTGGAATAGGCCACTTATAATATTTGCGCTGTATTGTCCCCACGACACTCTATCACCAAGGAACGATTTAAAAATTATTACAATTAATTTGGGAGCCGCTTCATTGCAGCAGAAGACTATAATTCGAAACACATAGATTATCCTCAATATCATCTTCTTCTTTCAGTATGTCGAACGTTGGCGATCATATTGGCAATAATACCTTTGTTTACGGCTGCTCTAAATAAAATAGCGGTGGTCTCTTGATAACATTCTCGGAGATTTCGGAGCCAGGATGTTCTTCTTCGGCCTGGGCCTCTCCTTCCGGCGATCTTACCCTGTATTATGAGGTGTAGAAGGTTATACCTCTCTGGATGTCTCATTACATGACTGAAATATTGTAACTTTCAAATTTTTTCGAACTTAGTATCATAGAGTCAAATAATATAAATTTTGCATCAACCGATGAACTAACATACTAGCCCTCGTCTCGAATAGAAATAAAACTCTGATTTTGCTGTGGTTAAGAATATCCCTAGGGCTAATATAAAAGCTTTACCATGCTACGAATTGCCATCTGATCACTCACCTATACTATTCACAGTTTAAATCTAGGTACTTATTAAAGCTCACTTCATAACAGAACAATAGTGTAACAACGGAATTGAAAAACTATTTCAAAAACTCAAAAACTAGTTACTTTAGTACTAGTTTTTGAGTTACTAGCTGGAAAATTTAGATACTATTAAACCTAACGATTACTTGCTATAGAAAGCTACTGAAGAAAACTGAAATAACTGCAGAAACTGTCACCTTCAATCAGAAAATTGAACAGAGAATAGGCACGTAGTGCACGAGAGAAAGCAGGCTATTTTGCAGAGCATTTCTTTGAAGTGTTTACTCCCAATCTAATGGATTCACGTGTGGAAGTAAACTTATCCTTATTTCTTAAAAACCCCTATAAAATGAGTATGTCTGGCGTGGATTTGACTTGATCAGTGAAAAAATGTTGAAGTAATTATGTTGAATTGAGAAACGAGGAAGTCTTAAGAAAGGCAAATACTGAGAGAGAACTACTCAATTTGATCAAGGAAAATTGGATACCTCGGCCATATTCTGAGAGGAAAAAATACGCAATCCCTCAACTAACCATCCAGGGAAAGATTAAAGGCGAGAGAGGAGTAGGTCGCAAACGAATGTCGTGGCTACGGAACATAAAGAACTGAACAGGCATCAATAACACTGGCGATCTTTTACATGCCGCAAAAGACAGACGTCTGGCCTTAAGATAATTCGCCAACGCACTATAGGTGCACGGCACTATAAGAAGAAGATCAGGTAGGTACTTTATTCAATATTAACAACTTGAAAACTTTATTCTATTAAAGCTGGCGTACCACAGGGTAGCCTACTTAGACCTATCTTGTATATCTTGTTTACCGCAGATATACCTACAATTCTTCACGAACCACTACAAGAGATATCACCTAAAAATGAAATAATGCTAGGAATGTTTTCCTTCGATACTGCAATCCTAGCCTCACTTGCTGACCCTATTTATGCCTCGCATCTCCTTCTGGTTTTTAGAATGGAAAATTAAAGTCAACGAAGGGAACTCTATTCATTTGGACCGAAGTCTCACCTGAAAGAAACATATTGGACCAAGAGAAAGCAAGTAGGTCTCCAATTCAGAAATATTGGTTATTATGTCGTTCATCAAGGTTATCCTTGGATAACAAATAGCTGTTCTATATAATACTTAAACCCATCTGATATATGAGTATGGGGAACAGCCAGTCACTCCAACATCGAAATCACTCAACGTTTGAGATCAAAAATCCTACGAACTATTACAATTGCACCGTGGTATATCAAAAACAGAATTATTTACCCTATCTTAACCCATCAGCGCCGAGATTAATAAATTATTGATTTTATATTATTTTTTGCAATATTATGAATGTGCTGCTTGTAAGTAATAAAAAACTTAAAAAAATATTTTTTCTCGCATATTTTATTTCTGGAATAATAACTGTTGCCTTAAAGCAATGCTAGGCGTTTTTGTTAAAAATTAGTATAAAAAATAAAATATTTTACAGTAATACAGTAAAGTAGGCAATATAACAAAAATAGATATTTATCAATAAAAAATTTAATACTGGGTGATAGTTCAATATCATACTTTGAACACATTGTTCTAACAATAGATTTACATGTTTTAAACCCACATATTCGCTTTTGATCACCTGGAATGTATTGTATCAAATGATTTATGGTGTCAAAACGAATGTCATCCGATACTCGGCTATCGACAGATGCTGTCAAGGAAGCTGAGGGCCTTCCACTTCCTTTGCTAAGTACACTATACTTCGTTAAATACGTAAGTACAATCTCTCTTGTAAAATTTAACTAAGATACATTTTCTCTGCCAGTTTTATTATACAATATTAAACTGTTTTATAATGCAACATCGAGCATCCATGTAATTTTTTTCCACGAATACTGATCCGGTAGCAACATTCCGATCCATTTGATCAGTTCCTACTATAAATGTGTTATATCTGGCTATCAATTTGGGTCCTGTCCTGTATCAATACCTAGGCCACGTGATGAGGGGACCAAAATATGAAATTTTGAGACTGATAATACAGGGAAAGATTCAAGGAAGAAGATCTGTTGGTCGAAGACAGAACTCATGGTTAAAGAATCTACGTGATTGGTACCAATGCAGATCGATTGATTTGTTTAGAGCAGCAAGTTCTAAAATAAAAATAGCCATTATGATTGCCAACCTCCGTAGGGA